GTTTGAATGAGATTCAGCAAATTGATGAGTTAAAAATCAAGATAGTCACAAGCAAAGGAAAATATTTATAAAATTGCTTTGTTTGATCAGGGTTAATATAAATACTTCTATCAACTTCTGGAATTTTATGGACTTTTTTGCCAATACATGAATAACAAATTTTGGATTTGTTGAATGAATAAGTGAATTATGTATTTAATCTTATAAGGGGTGGAGAAATGTTAAATCTGCCTCTACCTTACAACGAATATCAGGAATATTTATTTCAATCTTAAAATATTCTTTTTCTATTTTTATTTCTTTTTCAGTCTTCTCTTTTCAGATTTCAGTTTGTATTATCTTTTAGTATAAACTCTTCAGTAAAGGTATATTTTTAAAAAAGAGTAACAATGAAAACCACAAAAAAGCAGATGTAACATTGCACATTGCCTCTTCTAGAATGTCTTGATAAAAGTCTATCAAAGCTGAATGTCTTGATAAAAGTCTATCAAAGCTGAAACATCCTCAGATACCAAGTAGTATTATAGTGTTTGTTGATTTAGATTAAGCACGTCTGTTTGAATTTGCACGGTTGTTTTTTAAAGAAAACCAGAGTAACAATAATTAAATTACTCAATTGATCTTGCCACTACAAGGAAATTATCTGTTTATGTACTCCTAGTGATGTACATTTTTCCTTTTTCTCAAACTTATTAAAAATTCCAGAATCTTTCATCCCCAACCTATAATTTCTCCAGCATCAAGTGGTGTAATTTTAAATTTTAAATTAAGCAGTGTTAGGAACATACTTCATGATTCAGCCAGACTGCTGGCACCATTCCAGTTTTTTGTCCCGGGGAACAGTAGGCACACAGGCATATCTGATAAAGCTGAGAATAAGAAAGAAAAAAAGGGAACAGGAGATTTTTTTTAATGACATTTCCTCCTATACTATTTATTCAAAGAATGCCAGAGTAAGCATGTGTAAAAGCCAACATATGAAATAACAAGCAAATTGCATTCCTTTATACAAATACATTGCCTGCTTCATATAGCCATTGTAGTCATATATCATGCATCAAACTTTAAATATAAATGTGATACTAACTAGAGATCATGCCTGCAGCTGAAGTGGGGTGGGCACCATTGAAAGCCATCTCCTGGGAGACTACTGGGCTCCACCGAGAACAGACTCCTGGACTAGATTGGCTAGACGTACAATCCAACAAAGCACTTATGTACTGATCTGTGTTTATTATTTTATTTTGCTGCTCTCTATCTTATATAGGTAGATCTTGACTTACAATCACAATTGAGCCCAAAGTCTATATGCTAAGTGAAAAATGTGTTAATGTGTTTTGCCCCATTTTTTTGCCAGATTTGTTAAGTGGATCACTGCAACTGTTAAATTAGTAAAATAGTTAAGTGAATCTGGGTTCCTCGTTGACTTTGCTTGTCAGAAAGTCACAAAAGGGGATCACATGACCCTGGGACACTGCAACCATTATAAATGTGAGTCAGTTGTCAAGCATCCAAATGTAAATTACGTGATCACAGAGATGCTGCAACAGTTGTGTGAAATATGGTCGTAAGTCAGCTTTTTCAGTGCCGTTGTAATTTTGAATAGTCACTAAGCAAACTTGTAAGTTGTAAGTCGAGGACTACCTGTATAGCAGAAAAGGAATCATTTCCAGTTGCTTTGATGGATTGTCTTGTCTTGGTGGATAGCTATTAGTGGCAAGGAGGTTTATTTTGATACGACAACATAGAAGTAGAAAACAGATGAGGAAATAAATGAGGAAACTATTTCTCAGAATATTTTGAGAAAGTCTATTGGCCACTGTGAAAAAAAATGGATTTGTTTGGATAGATATAAAGGGATAAATGATAGATGAAAGGGAAGAAATCTAGATACAAATAGGAACATGTACTTCTGAGTCTATGTACTATTCTTTCTATTGAAATTTCTATTGAAATAACATGCCCCTTTGCAGTCAGGGTGCAACTTAAATTGAATCTCTCAAAGAGGGGCATTTTTCCCCTTTTCTCTTTTGTTTGCTCCATATTCATTCTCTCTTGTTATACAGGTGGGATGGTGGGTGTGTGTGTGTGTGTGTGTGTGAAAGAGAGAGGGGGGGAAGGGAGAGAGAGAGGGGGAGAGAGAGAGAGAGAGAGAGAGAGAGAAGTTCAGATTTTTAAAGAGTTTGTCCTTTTAATTTCCAGCAATTGACATTTAAATTACAAAATACAAGGTCTGCAGATGGATAGATAGGGCATGAATATATCATTACATCCATGATATATTGCTTTATTTATTTATTAATCAAATTTATATAGCCATCCCATCCCACCCTAGGCAACTCTAGTCAGCACAGAACAGATAAAAAGCAAGAATATAAAAATGACAAATATAAATATAAAAGACCATAATAATAAATATCCTAAAAAATAGAACTACAACCCCTAGAAAGACAATAAATGGTCCCCTCAGCAATGCAGCCATCTAGATAGATCTCTAATTCTATGGGAAATCCAAGGCTAGTCACAGAATCAGGTCTAAGGAGCTTTCAGAATATCAAAATGAATGGAGGGAATCAAATCTAACTTTTGAGGTGGAAGAATATTTCACAAGGCAGGGACCATAACAGAGAAGACACATCTCCTGGAACCAACTAAATAGATCCTTAGCTGAAGGTATCTACAGCATGCCTTCTTTGCCAGATCAGATGCAGTGGACTTAAGTAAGCAGATGAAGGCAGTCCCTCATGTTTCACATGCCAGAATTTTTCAATTTTTTCCATACTATATAGATTCATGTGTGTTACGTTCACTATTGCTAAGAAAAGAGAATGTATTCGGTGTTAACCAAAATCATAAAATCATAGCTGTTTTCTGATTGGCTGAGGGTTAAGGTAGAATTTGTCACATTTAGCTAACATATTAAACCCTAAAATAAGTACAATTACTTGCTCCTAGTGGCACAAAATTCAGCAAAGTAGTTATTAAATATCAAAAACCATAAATGAATGTATGCATGATTCATGATTTCTAAACATATTCACAACAGTAAGAAACCTGCATGTACAGATAGCTACTTGCAGATTGAGATCCCAAAGAACATCATAAAAATGTAGATGAAAGGAGACTAATTTGCATGATATTCAAGGGAACCATTACTAAATTATATTTATTACCTATCTATAGTGATAAAAAAGTTAAGTGCGGACTTCTTTTCAAATACTGTATATTTGAAACTTTGAAATGAAAGAGATTATTATATAGAAATTTTTATTCATGTCTGTAACAACTCGAGTGGGGCTAATCCTGCAAATCAGTCTTCCATAGTAGGAACAATAAGTTCCTTGTTCCTACCTATTCTTATCTAACAGCTAGATTTTGAAGGAATCTAGATATTAAACTTTGCCACAAATTATTCAAGGTCTATACTAGCCAGGATACCATGAAAAGTGGTCTGTTATCATTCACAACAAAAACTCCAGAGTTTGGAACACTAACATTAATTATTGCACTCCAAACTGAATTTATAGCCTCATGCAGAACAGTTCATGTAAATTATTTATCTAAGTATGAACTGGAATAGAATAAAAGAAAGGAACTGTTGAACTACAGTGCTAAAATCTTCAACCCTTGATAAAAATTCTTGGAAACAAGAGGCTGAATTTAGGTTTCTCTTAGCTTCTTCAATTATCACATTAAAAGCTGCATGCTGGCCAAAATAATATAATTTATAACTAATTTAATCATGAAAAAATAAGCTAATTTCTCATTTTTATCCCAAATTATAATTCTATATTATTTTCTAATCATAATTATTATATATCAGTATTAAAAAATTAAAGAACTTAGTTGCCATAGGGCAGCAGGTACCATCCAGAACTGGAGTAGCATAGAGACAAAAATATCATAATTAACAGTTGATTTAATACTTCAGCAGCTATAAAAGTTAAAACTAGTCTGCACTTGGAAGTGACCATTGAGAAGTATATGATTTATATGTGTTTTAAGTTTTTTTTTATTTCTTATTTCTTTTGAAAAATTTTAATTAAGCCTGTACTCAGCTCTGGGAAGGTTGAGGGAGGGTATGGGAGGTTTGGGGAGAGGGGGGAGGGTATGGGAGGGTGGGGGGTTTGGGGAAGGGATTTGTTTTGTAAAATTCAAAAATTTTCAATAAAAAAAAAGCTCCCCCCCAAAAAAGAGAAGTATATGAAGATACTATCTAAAAAGCACATAAACCTTTGAATTCTCAGAAAGTGTTGCAAGAAAAGCAGTGAAGAAGGGCTTATTTATATACTGACACTGGAAATTTTGTTCAAATAAATTGTCGTTCTATCTTCTATCATGTTCTTATTTAACCTTGAATTAAGATCAATTATTTTCTATTACAAAATAATACCTCCAAAATGTAACATGTATTTCACTCAAGTAGCTTGGAATGCATATAATCTGCAATGCATTTTGCGGGGGGGGGGGGGAGAAAGGGTTTGTATGTTGTTGTTTTTTATTGTGTTTGATTATCTCCAGGAAAAAATGTTCCATATTTTCAGCATATGGAATATAAAATGCAGTATGCACCAATTATAAAAAGTATTATTCCATCTATCAAAATATTGCAATCCATTCTTTCCATGCTTTCAATCTGCCAGCATACTTTGTGTGGACGGGAGGGAGAGAAAACAGGAAGTAAAGGTTTTAAATCAAGATTTCCTTTTTAAAAGTTCAGCTTTTTCTCTCTCATGCTTATTTCAGACAAGGAAAGGTTTGCAGGTTACAAAGAATTCTGAAAAAAAAAAGACTCTAAATGGAAAATATCAATCAACTGCAATGCTGCAGTTTATAGATAAAATTAGACTTGATTTTAGAAAATGTCCAAAAGACTCAGCAGTGGCTCCTTTACAAACATACTATTTATAATGAATACATTGATACATAATTACTTACTTATAAAAAAGTAAGGCAACATTTTATAGACATATCAACATTACAATAATTCAGAAAGTACATTTTTGTAGGCTGTTTTACACGCTTTTATTATCAATTCACAAATTATGTGGACTCATGGAATCAGGCAGAATTATGTATCATTCTGCATAAGACTGCAATATTGAAACAATGTACAGAATTTTCATATCTTTACTAAATAAAAATTATCATTAGCAATTGTCCTATATGTGCCTTTTAATGTTGGTGACTGTGCAAATTACTGCCAAGTGTATATACCTAATTAAAAGCAAGTTCTGACATGCTGATTAAAGATACAAAGCTAGTGCAATTTAGGCTTATAAATGGTCTTTTGCATTCAGGATTTTGAATAATCCGGAAAATATTTTTTCCCTCCCCAGTATGTGAAGAATATAAAATCATTCCAAAAATTGCCCAGGTGAAACATTCCATTTTAAACTTTACTTGTCTTGATTGCAAGTAGACCTCTCTTCTTAGAAATGTTTGGCAAACTATTTTAGGGTGCACAATTCTCTTCCAAACGCAGCTTGGAATTGAATGCTGTTTTTATGTTGATGGCTGTCCTCTAGAATTAGAGGAGGGTGATTCATTACCCTGAAGATCTCGCCTCATAGTCAAAATGCCCTGAGATGGGGATGCACTCCAAAGTAGATTTTGAAAGAGCATTGGGAATTCTGGTGGAGATTGGCAACAGCAGTGGAGGAAATCCTGTTTTGCCAGTAAAAAAAAAATCATTCATACAATATCAGATTTGCAAAGATAAATTTTAAGAACTTTAAATTATTAATCAAATTATTATTTTAAATAGCCACCAAGGAAATTTAGGAAAAACCTTTTAAGACAATGGCACTGAATGTAGACTACTAAAATTCTAAGTATGATATAGAACAAAGACATATAAATTCATTTTGAAAAGACAAATAGTGCCAATTAGTATTTCAATGTTGTAATTTATTCCTAGATAGTAGGACTGAATTCTCTCTCTCTCAAAATATCATGAAAAAATATCATAATTTATAATTCTAATAGGCTACTGCAATAGTGCAAGTGAAATTTAAGTTTCCTTTCTGTCCTATTTGCCATTAAAATACTATTAGCTGCTACAGTAGATAAGTTAAGACTGGAGTACTGTACATCCAATGATACTGACAACTATGCAATTACATGCAATTAGAGGAGAGTTCATTTTGTTCCATAGATGTGGAAAGGTATGAAACTTTTTTTTAAGCTGAGAACTGCACTTGACCGTTGAACAACACATGGAAGACATTACTCCAAAATTAAAGCCCAAACAAAAAATAGATTTAATATAAAGATTCTTGATATTATTTCTCATATATTTAATAACCTTCTTTTTCTTCAATATTAAAATTTGATAGCAACTGTTGAAACAGGGCTGAGAATTTTTCCGGATATATTAAGAAATCTACTTTACACATTCTGAACAAATGTATGGCTGTATTCATAAACATTAAGCCAAGATTTATTGGATGAATGGTTATTGAACAGAGACAAATCATAACCACTATTTTATATGACTCCAGTTGGTTTATTTTTGCCAACTTCTTTCCAATAATCCAAAAAATGGGCAAACCACAAAAACAAAGGCAAGCCACAATTATGCGTTCAGACACAGGAGATATAAGCTTTAAACTCAAGTTCAATTTCAAATTGTAATATGTTGGAAAAAGAATGTTATTGTTTCTTAATTGAGATGGATTTGCTAAACCAAAAATTAAATCCAACTATAAAGCTTATTATTATATACAAACCTTATTAAATTAGTTGAACTAAATGGATCTTTGTTATTGGAAGATATGGATTGTCTGTTATCAGAATCTTTCAGAGAGACTTGATTGAATACATTGATTTTTTTACCAAAAGGTGAATGAGTATTATTACAAAATCTACAGGTAATCCCTGCTTAATGACCATTCATTTAATGACTGTTCAAAGTTACAAGGGAAAAAGTGACTGACGACTAGCTCTCAGATTTATGACCATTGCAGCATCTCTGCATTACATGATCACAATTCAGGTGCTTAGCAACTGTCACACATTTACCACAGTCACAGCATCCTGCAATCACCTGATCTCCATTTGTGAGCCTCCTATCTGGTTTATGACAACCAAAATCAATGGGATAGCTGGATGGAGATTGTAAGCTGTGGTCATATGATGTCTTGTTTAATGAACACAGTCAAAAAGATCATAAAATTGGGTGTGGTCATGTGATAACTCATTTAACAACCACACTGCTTAATAACACATTTTCAAGTCCCTGTTGTGGTTGTAAGTTGAGGGCTACCTGTATAGTAAACAAGAGAAAGTAAAATTCTCTACAGATATATCTTTAAATGTTTCAGTAAAAATCAAATAATTATAGAATTTCCTCTCAAAATCTGATGGCACCAATACAGCAAGCTACATACTTTTCAGGAATCATAAATTCAATTTTTAAAGTAAAAATTATTTTTTTTATAATATGTATATAATGCTGTGTAGCCAATAATTACATTTTCTTGTAAATTTATTATTTAACAAAAACTAAATCTAAACAGGAGTTGGCAGTATTGTGATTTCTGTTCCAACTATCAGAATATATTTCAGAATACATTCTTACAATATATGGTTTATATTAATAAACCAAGCTATGCTGAAGCAGGTTTCCAGTTCCACTGCTTTTTAAACTTTTTTCAATAATTTTTTTAAAAAAATCAGTGAATAGTTTCTAACATGCAAGTGATTTTTTTAAAGAAAAATAGTCAAATAATATTTTTAACATGAACATTTATATCAATATATTTACAGATTAAACTATAAATTTAATCTGCCACAAGTCCACCAAGTGGTAGGTGAATCCTGCCTACTATGAGTGTACTATCCTACTTTAACTCTAAAAATTTACTGAAATATTTTCAATCCTTTCTAGCAAAATGTTTAACATATGGCTAAACTCTTACTTTAAAAAATAAAAGAAACAATTGACTGGAAAAAGATTATTTCCACCTAAAACAAAAGTGCATGTGGGCAACGAATTAAATATACACATACTAAATAAATGGAACACGTTTACAACTTCAGCAAAAAGTAGATTTTAATCTTTTAACCACCACTATAAGCATCTTTGTATTTTAACACTTCAATATTCAGACAGATTGCTTGTAGGCAGCTGCAACTATACATTATTATCAACAAGTATCCAGGTTAATTAGATATTCATATATTTACTTTAAAGAAAGTGGTGGAAAATCGATGGTATGAATTCAGCTATACTGGTTAATAGAACTGGTAAGATTAGATTGCTTTCTCCACATTAGTTTCCCGGTGACCTAAGGTCCGAGTTTCTCCATGTAGTTTACCAATATCTGAGAGACAAAGAGGGACACTCTTATGAAAGACACTGTTATCAATTATCTTCTTTTTCAGCAAACAATCCCAAAAGCTTGTCAAATTCAACAATTCCCTTGATGAGATCCTTCTAAGCCTACTTTTATCATCCAATGAGATATGTATAAATCTGGTCCAACCCAATAATATTTTGCAAGTCCACTGACATCTAAAATAGCCCTTTAAGGTTTTATATCTCTGCCTGCCTTTCTTAAAGGATTTCTTCCTTGCCAGAGATAAAATTAATGAATGCTAAAATTCACCTCACAGATGAAGGAAGTAAATTATGCTGACTCAATCTAAAAGAACATTCACAACCACTAAAATCAATGGCTCTTACAAAACAATCTTAAGAAGTATTTACTCAGAGCTTATTGGTGTTTATGAGTGAAACGTTCAATGAATTGTGTTGATTTCAACAGAATAAGTATATCTGATGATCTCAGGATTGTGCCTATCAAATAGACATTAATATCAAAATAAAAAAACACAAACTTTTTACCACAAATGAAAAAATTATCTGACATCTATGATGTATAATTTAAAGAACCTTTTTAATTCTAGAATCCCTTAAGCAAACCCATCATAATGAATTGAAACTGAAAACCAATTTATCTCAAATGTAATTGCTATGTGAGCATCCAATTCGAAATAGCACATCAAGTGCAGTAGCAAGAATCACTGCAGCATCATTAGCCCTTTGTACAGCCATGAAAATGACAATAAACCGCATGTTTTCTATTCAATCACTTAATGGTTTTCTACTGAGCAATCATATTCTAAATACAAATGAAAAAGTGTCCTTATTTTCCAAACAGACCAGTTTTTAATACTGAGATTGATAGGATGAGGTTAAAAGAATAAATCATGGTACTGAACTGATTATTTTGAAGCAAGTGTCCCATTTTTACAGGGAAAAGTGCATTTAGTTCAGCAGCAAAACAGCACAGCATGAAGATATTGTGCTTTGACGCAGACACTCCATAATAATGGGAGGATGTACAAGGCAAGGCAAGATATAAAACCAGAGTAACATTGTCAACCGACCATAAATTTTACGTATACTGCAGGGTTTCAAAAAAAGACACATTCATTAATTGCACAAAGACCAGGAAAAACCCTTACAATTATCTGTTGCATTTCAGATCCATCATTGACGCAATACTAAATCTTAACAGAACATGATACTTTTCTACAAATTTGTCACTTCTTAAAGTGAAAAATGTTGCTTATACTAAATGAGGCAACCATAAAATAATTGTTTCTTCACTATGATATGCTTACAACTGATGAATTCAAAGGAACTCAAGCTTCTGTTGGACTTACTTTCTTTTCACTAACTAGTTGCTTATATTTTTGCAATAATATGAATCAGTCAATAAAAAGCCCTCAGCAGAAGAATACAACTTCTAGATTCAATAAAACAGAGTAAATCCCACGCCACCCCCAATCCAGTGACATACCCTGACTGTAAACATACAAGACCATTCATTTTAAAACTTAAAATAAGTTAAAGGATTTTCCAGAATAAAGAAAAATACAAATAATTCCAATATTTTGTCACAAAATGAGAACTACAAGGAATGACAAAATAATTTGTGTGACTAAGTTGCTTTTTATCCAACAGGAAAAGGCTTGGTTTAAAAATATTTTCCCTTAAATTGATCAGCAGTTAATTGACATTGTTTTCAGTGAACTGGTACACCAAATTATCCAGATAACCATTAAATTCACTAAAGAAAACTTGAACAAGCATTTACAATGGAAAAAAAAATCTAAATGGCTATGTTTCCTCTATGAGCAGGAACACATATGTGTGGTCTGAAATTTGCCTGTTTTATATTATTTGTTTTATAATATAATATACAATCTATATATTATATTATATTTACACAAATACACAATACTAACAGTGCAGTTTGCATTTAGTAGAGTGTACGGGACAATCCATTTTATCCACACTGGGCACCATGTAGCCTAGATACTATATACATAATGACACCACAAAAGCCATTTATATTTTGTACATCATCGGGGAAGATATCAGTCAGACCATGGCTCGATATGGTCCTTGCATTTTGAGAAACTGGATGATAAAGGAAGGTCCACCTGCAACAATCTGAGCTGGAAGGGTACTGAGCGGACAGTTCTCAATGCTCATTATGGATAGTTTGCTGCAAAGAGCCAGTTCAAAAGGAAGGCTGTTTAGATGTGGGTTGTCATTTAGATACAGTTCTTCCAGATTCTCCAGTGTACCTGCAAAACAATGAGCATTTTTGAAACCAAATATATTAGTCATAAAATAACAATAAGTGACATAGAAATTACTACTAGCTACCTTGATTTTCTGTCCATTACCAAGAACAGCAAAGATATCATCCTTTGCATCTAAACAATTCACTGAATTCAAAACACAAAACACATTTCTAAGTTTGCAGTAACAGCAATTTTTTAGTGCTGGCATGGAAAGAAAAACCCATATGAATCTAGAAGGGACAAAGCCAATTGGTTTGCTGGACCTGGCTTATCCTGGCTCACGAGAGCAGATGGTTAAATTTTGGGGAATTTTGCAAACACTTGACAGCATCCATGAGCTATAACACCTAGTGTGCCAATCAACTGTTTCACAGCAAGTGGCACAACGCAATAACAATGGACCTGATAAAGTTGGTTTTAAACATTTACCAGCTCACTACTGGATAAAAACCTTTATTACATTTCTTCAACAACCTAAGGCCACTTTCAGCTAGAAAAGTATCTTTTTTTCCTTACTGACATCCCAACTCCAAAATCTTACTTTTAAGAGACCACATTAAGCCAAATGTCTTATGACAAAAATTTTCAAACAGACTTGCAAATTCCAACTTACATTTTCAAAACATTAAATAAATTCATGCCTGCATTTGGAAATCTTGAGTATATTATGCTGTGCTAAATGTCAAGACTGATATTAAATGAATCTTAAATATCATGGTTACTTCTGTGTGGGAAGCTCAAATGTTTTTCAAAGACTCTCTATTGATCGATGATGCATGATGAGGATAGAGTTGCAGCAATATCGACGGCTTTTTTCCCCTGAAGACTACTACAAATTATGCAAGTTATTAATAAAATTGTTCTAGTCATATGCAAAGTAAAAAAAAATAGCTTGGCAGACATGGAAGGACTTTTAAATATTCCAATCAGTTCTACCTTTGTGGTTCTTACATTCCCAAGATCGATTTTATGAGTGGAAATAACTTAAATAAAACAAATACTGCCAGATGTTGACTTACAATGAATACCTCATTGGTACATTACAGCAATATTTCTCAACCTCAGCAACTATGGATTTCAACTCTCAGAATTTCCCAACCATTGCCCAGTGTTGACTGGGAAATTCTGGGAGTTGAAGTCCAGACAGTTTAAAGTTGTTGAGGTTGAGAAAACTACATCAGAAGTACCTTATTAACACCAGCCTATGAATTTATGGATCATGTCTTACCAATTTCCTCAGGAAGCTGTGTAAGAAAGTTTTCTCCTAGCCCCAGATGTGTCAGATTGATAAGGTGACCAATTCCTCTAGGAAGAGTGCTCAACTGATTATTCGTTAGGATCAGTCGCTGGTTAAGAAATATATAATTTAATCACAAAATTAATATCATCTTCCACCAAAGAATTAACAAAAGTGGGTATCTTTTTATCATTAGAACAACAGCCTTTGACTCCAACTGTCAACAAAAAATGGCTGAACTTGGGCTGCATTACTCCAAAACACTGAACATGTCATAGGACAGTTACAGAACTATCAAATGTTCTGTAAAGTCACTATCCATGTATACCAAAGATGCTTTTTCATGAGGCAACTGAACTTTCTTGTTTTTCTTTGAAGATGTTTCACTTCTCATACAAGAAGTAAGATGTCTTCAAAAAAAAAACAAAAAAGCCCAGCTGCCTTGTGAAAAGCATCTTTGGGACAATTATGACCTGGATGACTGAGAATCTCCATAGACATGTTCATGTGTACATTAAAAAAATCTTCTCATTTTTGAGCTTCTCTGTATTTATTACTCAGTATAAATTCTCACTTTTTGGACTATAGGGTACTCAAAGCAGCTAACTTTATAATAAACATGGAAGTAACAGAAATTAGAAAAACCTGCTAAAAGTTCTGACTGAGGAGGAAGGCTTTAACTTCTTTCATAAGGCTGAAAAGGCTGGGATTACATTTTATGCCACTCTGTGTATTTTTTAAAAAATAAAAATGTTACATTTATACAGTAAATGCATTTAATACATTCTATAGCTAGGGAGCAATTGAGCATCTTTCTTAACTTCTCTTCCTTATATGTCAGTAGGCATTCCCACATAACACAACAGAGAATGCTCAGCATCCAAATGGCAACTTGAACCAATTTATACATGGCAGTTTTTAAAAAAATGACATGAAATCCAGTATGGTCTAGTGGCCAAAGATACCAGGCTAAAAAAAACTGACATAAAGGCAATCAATCAATCAGGAAGGCAGGCAGGCATTTATATAGACTTTGAATTGGACAAACATGGTATACCATATAATTATTTTACCTGCAAATCCCTAAGGTATGCTATTTCATTTGGCAAAGATTCCAGCTTATTTTCCTCTAAATCCAATTCTCTCAGTTTCCTCAAATTTCCAATGCCATGTGGGAGATTTCTTAGGAGGTTATTTGACAAAATAAGAACCTAAAATAAAATTAATAGAGAATATTTAATGAACTGGAGCTATCCATTAAGTAATGGTAGAATTATCTAAATATTTTTAAAAAATAAAAAGAGCTAGAGACTGTTCACTGTTGAATTTTAATGCCACATTGGCTCTAGCAAATATGATTTGTGAAATAAATAATTCTTTGTTGGGCAAGAATGAAGAAAACATGAAGAAAACATTTTTCTAGAAACTTTATAAAAGATCTCTGGAAAGTGGTATATTTTCACATTCCTGTCAACAGATTTTTAATTTTATAAGAATAGTTTTCCATGAATAATTTAATTACGAAAACATTTAAATTATTTTATGCATGCAGTAAAGAATTTTTTATATATATTCTTTTACCCTATAGAAATGGAAAGGAATAGATACACAGGGCAGGGCAAAGATATCTAAAGATTGTTTATATAGGGTAACTATACATGCCAATTACAAGGAATGCTATATCTTTTATGAGTTGAATGGAAAATAAGGAAAGGGGAATAGATAAAAAGATTCCATCAACCATTTCCCATACTCACACACTCAAGCTTGAATTCTTTCTGTTAGAATTCATATAGAAAGTCATACAACACATACATTTTATAGTTTTACCAAGAAAACACCCAACTGAATATATAGGTAATTCCAATTGCTTAGTGACCAGCTGACATTATGACTAACCTCCCCAGAGTTATTTACAATATGGTTTTGATGTTCTGCCAACTGACCCTACCCCCAGTGGTCACGTGATCACATTTTAGACACTTGGCAATTGGCCTGCATTTACAGCCATTTGCAGGATCCCATGGTCACAATACCACAATAGGGTTTTTTATAGGAAAGTGATGTTTACTTCCAGTTTCCAGCAAAAAAAAAAATGCCGAGTGAGTACAATGAATTTGCTTAATGATCACTGTGTTCATTGAATGACCGCAGCAAAAAATGTGATAAAATTAAGCTTAATGACCACCATAAATTACAATCATAAGCTAAGGACTATCTGTATATCATTACATATTCACTATACAGGGAAATAAATACTTGCAGATTAAGATAATGTAATAGCTATATCTTCCCTGTCATCACATAAAAAAAATCATAATATGCACAACGTAAGTATTCTGATAAAAAACAAATCTGGTATACAATTCATTTAAATAATCCTTCTAAATCCTTCTAAACCTAGGTTGTTTCAGAGTATATTTATTAGTTTTATCAATTATCAATAAGTATGTCAAGACTGGTCAGGTTTCTTAGAATTTATTTAGCTGGTCTTTTATATTCTACTTTTTACCACCTCAAGAGAAACAAGTCCAGATACATCCTCAGGAATTTTGTTGAGTTGATTTGTCGCTAAATTGAGTTCCACCATACTAGTCCATGTCCCAAAATCCAGGGGAAGTGATGTCAGCTGATTGTCCTGAAATTTAACATAAAGTTTAGGGATTTGTTTTTTAAAAAATAAGGATAATAAATTGTAAATGATATTCATTGAAGCACATAAAGAATATAAATTTCACTCTATCCTCTCAAAGAAATAATCATTACAAGGGCTTGGAATTGTTTTTTAAAGAAATATTCACAATCAATTTAGCTAAGGACAAGATGCATTCTCCATCTTCAAAACAGAAAGCGGTGATGAATATCAATCTTAACTGGATGTCCTACTGATTCTGAGAAAAGAACCAGTTTAGTGTAATTGTAGTCTTATCACCCATATAACTGCAACAATTAAAACAGTTGTCTATGTTAGCTTTTCTATTTTAAATCAACAATTTAAATTAAATATGTGCTGCAACAACTTTTAGCTAGATTTAACTATTAAATAACCTAAACAGCACTTTAATGTTTAATTCATTTTTTTTAGTTTTAGTCAACAGACGTTTTCCGAAAGTACAGTCTAAGCTTTGCTCTTTTATAGAAAATAGTACTCTATGTTTGCAACTGCCTAATTTCAACATCATTTATTACTTACGCCAGGGGTCCTCAACCTTGGCAACTTTAAGACTTGTGGACTTCAACTCCCAGAATTCTGGGAGTTGAAGTCCACAAGTCTTAAAGTTGCCATGGTTGAGGACCTCTGACTTATGCCACTACATAAGAAAGCTTTTATATTCTTGATACTAGTTTTATAAATAATCCTGGGAAAGTCATCTTACAAAATCAAGTATCCATGGTATCTGCCACAATTCTCTTTGGTTGCACTTTCATAAAAATATTTTATTTTACACCAGAAAATTCATATTCCTGAAACAAAGCCTCACCTTCATGTTCAGCTTACTTAATACTTTTGCTCTAGAAAAAATTCCAAAAGGAATTTTGTTAATGCGGTTATGTTCCATATTTAGAGCGTAGATAGTAGAGAACTGTGAAGGACCACCCACAGGATAAGATTGAAAACAGTTCCGTGCCAGAGTTAGGCTAGTCAGATTCACAAGACTGGATAAGAGACCCTGCAAGAGCAAAGTGAACAAATCAAATTATATGCTTCATGTACTCTAATCTCCTTGTACTTGAATAGATGTTTTCTCTTATATGCAGTCTAGCTATCATGGTCTGTTCAAAACGGTAATGTCTTTAAGAGTGATGTTTTCTGCTTTTGATAATAGCTTTAATACCTGTAATGCCTTCATTTCTGACAAGTCATACCATATGTTAGCCATTTTTTAAGCATTTAAAAAGACAACTCAATCTCTGAGAGGGTGTATTTTACCCACTTACTGACAGGTACCAAACACACGTTTATAAAACAAAAATTAAGTCATTCTCCAGAAGCAATTTCAGGAGTAGCTACAACATCCCATACAATAAAGAGATGACAGACAAACATGGCACTCTTTGGAATTGTCATATTTCAGGGATTCTTGTTGTTCCAATTCTAAGATGTCTGAGGCTACTCGGTGGGGGGGGGGCCAGGGGAAGGGAGAGATTTATACCTTTGGCCAAGCAAAACAGATTATCTCTGCTTGAATTTTAAAATGTGTATCTTTAAAGGATGCAGAGATATTAAGCATATGAAATACTAATCATTTATTTATATCATTTTTAAGGAGAAAATATTATTCACTCTAAATGCAGAGTAGGATATCCAGCTATTCATTCTAAAACTAGAGTGAAGACTTTGCATAGCTGACTTTTCAGGAAATCTTGAATGCTTCCCAAAACTAACTCAAGGCTATCATAATGCATTTTGAAATGCAGAAGTATGTTAAGAATTCAAAGTTGAATGCATTATTGTTAAAAGAATCCCAATATAAACAATTTATTGGACAACCGCTTTTTCCAGCTAATATTTTAAGACATGTTTACTTGGCAAGCATTTCATCATTAAAAACTTAGTGTATTTTGCAATTCTGCAGTTTTCTTTAGAAATGCATTTTCTTTCTTCTGCAGCCAAAGCGATATGCTTTAATGGATTACACTAGCACGCTAATAAGTGGCTCTTTTCAGCAACAGTTATAAATTATATATAGACCAGCACTTAAAAATGCAAAATTCTATTTGTTAAGGGTGTTTTAGACTGGGAGCCCATTTATAAAGCAATCTGATTTCCAGTCAGTTTCTTTTGTATGTTTAATTACAGTTAAGTAACTTTCATAATGTTCTTGGGAGGAGAGATTAATTACTAAGCAACTTTCTTCCATTAGCAAAATCTACAAGCAATAGTTACTCATTCTCAATCAGTTTTAATATTAATAATTTATTTGATGGATTTCCTTATTTCTTTTGCCTTATTTCTAGATCATTTATTATTCAATGCAATTCCAATGATTCGTATTAACATTATATATTACTTTTAAACTGAAATATTAATCCCTATTTATTTGTGTTCTACAGATATGTAAGTATCTTTATAATCAATTATCATGTCAGATTTCTTGCTCCACATTGTCTTCGTGGAAATGGAACGTAAATAAGTAAATCCACATTTTTGTACTTTTAATTCTATGCAACTGAACATCCATAAACTGAACAATTACCAGTTCCACTCAAAGAATCACAACTAATATTCTACTAATATATGTTTGTAACTAAGAAACAATTATATTTAGGGTCAACAGCACATACCTCCTAATGCATTTGCAGAATAACCTAGTAAATTCTTGTTTTATATATAATTATTTTTTTATTTATGTATTTTTATTTTAAAATTTAATATGAGAAGTGCTTTGAAGTGAAGTGCTGGCAGATGATGGGTGACATCTCAATTTACAGAATAAAGTGTATTGTTTGGGAATAATATTCCAAAACTTGGTTTATAATTTGGAAGTATTTGTGGATTATCTTGGTTTATTTTAACCAGCATTTACTATTGCCTTTTAAAATGTTTTTAATGCATTTGTACATCTGTATGAAGTCAAGGTCAACTCGCGGAGATCATTATAATAGTTACTAAATTTGAATTTTTTTGAAAATTTATTTCATTTTATTTATCACATTTAGAAACTGCTCATCTCCCTAACAGAGCAACCTTTGGCAGTGTGTGGCAATGTTAAATAAAAGCCTCTTTCTTCCTCTCGCACACATTTCAACATTAAACATAATGAAGCCAGAATAGAATCAGGTGGTTTATACATTTAATAAAATATATAAGCAAATTCTGTCAAGACTTTTTTAGTATTATTAAATTTATGATGAAGTGGCTCTTCTTATTTTATTTTACTGAAATTGAATTATTTATTTTTATTACAGGGTCTCCTACTTCTCAAGTGTCTTACCTCTGGCAAAGTAGAAATAATGTTGTTTTCCAAATTTAACTCATCAAGTTTACTGCACTGTGCCAGAGTCCTGGGTATTGCTGAGAGACGGTTATATCTCAGACCAAGGCTTTTCAAAGTAGATAGATTTCCTGAAAAAGAAAAGAAAATGTTTAAGAATCTTATGTTTAGAAATTCCCACTATCTGTATTTATTCTTGGGAAAGGGTAAGTCCCTCTTTCTCTTTTATTACTATTTATTAGAAAAGGTACACACTTTTCACACAAATATATGAACACTTTGAGCATCAGGATAATTTTCCAACATATAAATATACAATTCTAATAAATTCATCAGTATTTCAACAATATCCCATTAGTCAAGATCTTTTTCCACTATTGTGCTTTGCTTTCATTTCTGGCTTCCCAGCAATACTTTAAAAGTGTAAATCTAAGTGTTTTGTTTCTTTTTAATCATTACTGGCTGTCATCACCACAATACTTTAGAGCAATTTACACATTTTTAGATTACAAGGATAAGCATTTCCTTATGAGAGGAGGGGCAACATTAATAGCTTTCAAAAGCAGCGAGAGAAAAAACCTTGCAAGTGAACTTCATGCCAAAAGCTAATTAACAAAAGATCATCTGTCGTCTCCTGAAATTTTTTTGCATACACATCAAACTTAGTTCTGAGTGTACAGATATTATTTAGTGCAATAATGAGTACTGGGGCAACACTCTCAAGGAAAACTATTTATGTACAAAAACCTTAATTTCATTCATGTGACTCAAGTATTAAAAACTCAAGATACTAATCAGTTTAAAAAGTGTTCAAATGCAAGTACATTTAGACATACTACCTAAAAAAAACTGAAAGCACAGCTAAAAGTAGGAAAAGGGGGGGGGAGAATTAGACTTGCCAGCTCATAACACAACTCTTAACTTTAAAATGTATCTGCAAATAAAAGTTGCACCAAGACACAAATCTGTCTTTTGAGGTAATTTCATAATTAGGCAACAGAATACAGTAACTGTAAACCTCCCCCCCCCAAAAAAAAGGGAGTTGGAGAAAGGACAAGCAAAGGAGAAAGCCACCCAGAATCTTAGCAAAAAGATGCTTATGATACTTTGATCAGTCCTTGCTTATTTTGACTATTTACAACTGGATTGTCTACCAAGATCTCAGATAAAAAAGTCTAGTACCGCAAATGAAATAAACCACATATGCACGTAGTCAGTGGACTTCATTTTAACAGACTAATGGGGGAGGGGGAGACGCTTTGTTGTTCATAAATGTGCACTAAATATGAAAGTACATAATTGCAGCAACTTATATCAGTTAAATACAATATTCAAATGGTGTCCTTTTAATTACTTGTATAATGAAATAATTACACAAATGCCATAACCTGGTCCATTGCACGAGGTCTGCTAAATCAAAGTTTTGCTGTATTGTTGTTTGTGCCTGAACTAACTTATCCTACCCTTTCTGTTAGCAGGGGCACAGAGCATGGGTAGTAAATTAAAATTAAAAATTAAAGCAATATAGAAGATTTTTCTTCTTATTTTTCCAACTCTGAATGATTCAATTCACCAAACAATGATGGCAACAGTGATCAATAATTATGGGGCCATAAATACATGGAAAACCTATTTGGAATATAAGCAAAGTAAATGGTAAAATGAATGAATGCATGCATGCATGATTGAATGGACTGAATTAAACTGTATTAAAAGAAATACAGTTATGTCTTAGCTTGAGAATTTAAGAAAAAAGAGGATATAATCTTTTCAGATCTTATGGACTAATAAACACACTCTTGATGAGAAAATTCAGTGGGAAATACAAGGGTAATGTTAATTTCTGAATGAAGGATAGATTCAGACAAAGAAAAGTGAAAGAAACAAGAATGAAAGAATGGCCACAACAATAGATAATTCCATGTAAGAAAACAACTGTTGCAAAATATGATGAAAGTTATTTTATGCTGTGTACACAGAGAAAAAGATAAGTGCAAAGAATGTAGTCAAAGAGCAGGGAACAATTTTAAAAGGTACAACAACGCAGAGAAAGTTTTATGGGAGTTTTAAAAGTTTCAGAAATGAAAGAAAACAGAGAAATGAGAAGGCTCCTGTAGACTGAATGGAATTACAAATAAAAATTATGGAGTGACTTGGGGTTACCGGTATACTGATATGAGGAAATGCTGGAATTGTAGAGATTTGTATAAAAGGATGATTTGCAGAGTGGAATCAAAACAAATGAAATCAAAGTTACTGTCATTTACAAAAAGAAAGTCAGAAATGCTGCTAAAACCCTGAAAAATGCTAAAGTTGCAGCTATAGTCGGGATACCTGGCAAAATGTTAAAATGTGAATGTGGTTTGCTTATAGTGGTTGTGATGCCTGTTTAACATGATTGTATGCCTTCTCCTATGCCTGGAATGGGAAGAATATATTACTGTTCTCTTATACAAAGGAAAAGATAATAAGAGAATGCAAAACTTACAGATAAATTAGTATTGTGTGTGCTAAGGGAGATATTTGGTAGAATTCTCACTAAAAAACTATGAGAGCTAACAATAAGCAACAATTTGCAAAACTCACTGAAGCCTTATTTTATGGAAAGGATATGCAGATCAGATTTTTGTAGTCACTGCTATTTGTGAGAAATGTGTGAATGTGAGAAGAAAAATGTTTGAAAGAGAAATGAAGTATACATTTGAAAGTTATATATAAATGGTGAAAATAAGAGCAATTAGGCGGCTTGATTCTTGGGCAACTTCAAGATCATCTACTCCAGGTAAGGTAAGGTAAGGTAAGATGACCTTTGTTGTCATTTTTTTGTTACTGTGGGCACAACGGCACACATCAAAAATGAAATTTAGTTGCCCGCTCTCAAAGTGAAACACATACATGACACACACCTAAACATACTATGAACAACATATGTATAGACCCACACCCTTACATATGCATAGCAAATAAATATTAAATACTGTAGAATATTAAATGTAGAATATTCTTGTTCAAAATGAACCAATGGACAGTCATTCTGTGAGGCCCATTCTTCAGGAGATATGTCCAAAGAACCTTTTCAGTTATGTTTTTTTGTGTTTCATTTGATTTTATTTTTATGATTTCATTCAGATTGCATTTTTAGTGTGTTTTATTGTAAACCAACCAGAGAGCATCAGTTTTTAGGCTGTTTTAAAAATTTAATACATAAATAAAATCACTGTCAGTTGGACAGTCCTAATTTTTCTGGAAGCATATGCTTTTCTGCTCATAAAGAAAAGTATTTTTTCTTTCACTAAAGTCATAACATAATTACAAAGAAGCCATCACCAAGGAGAGAATTTTAACTCAAAAACAAGAGACATGCAACAGAAACACACATTTTTAAAAAGCCAAATAACATACACTTTCAAAATCATTTACATAAAGTATCAAGTAATTTTCTTACCATTAACTATTACCATACTAACTGTTTTAACTATTATCACAATTGTTAATACATGGATATGAATACCACATCTATATATTTATTATAAATATAAAAATAAATTCTTATTAGGAATGAAAGAGGGGAATTATAAAAGTATAAAACAGCTAAGTAACTAAAACAAAACAAAACACCAGTGTGATAATCCAGGAGACAATCAAGAGCATCCTGTCATACAGCATCACAGTCTGGTTTGGAGGCATCACTGCTTCAGACAGGAAGGCGATGCAGAGAGTGTTGAGAATGGCGGAAAAGATCATTGGCAGTTCCCTCCCTCCCATCCAGGACATAGCACAGAAGCTTGAGTAGGGTCCATAAGATTATCTGGGGCATTACACATCCTCTTCACGATCTGTTTTCCTTGTTACCTTCTGGGAGGAGGCTTCGTGGTATCCGAAGCAGAAGGGGCATTGTCTTACCTGAACGCCTTTTCTCAGCATGAGGAATGTAGAATCCACAGATGGGTTGATTTAGTCTTCTAGCCCAATCAGACCAAACAATCAAAGTTGCCACGCCTCTGCAGGGTCTGACCATGCCCCAGTTTCGAAAGGGCGAAGCGAATGATTGTGTGACATGATGGCTCCGAACTGCTGACACTAACCTAACTGCAAGTAATGATCAGGGAGGGGGTGGATTCTACATTCCTCATGCTGAGAAAAGGCATTCAGGTAAGACAATGCCCCTTCTCCAGCATGTAAAGGAATGTAGAATCCACAGATGGGACATACCAAAGCCCCTATGATCCCACGGGTGGGAAGCAGGTTGGTTAAGTGTCGTTGCTGAAATGGACCACTTGTTGTAAAACCCAACGACCAAAAGCGGCCTCTGCAGAAGCAAACTTGTCGAGTTTGTAATGGCGAATGAATGGTGAAGGGGACGACCACGTAGCTGCCTTACAGATGTCCTCTATGGATGCCTGAGTCTGCCACGCCCCCAATGTGGAAGCGCTACGAATAGAGTGCGCTGTCAGGCGGCTTGGGACAGGTAAAGAGTAAGCCTGGTAAGATTGAGAGATACAGGCCTTGATCCACCTGGCTATAGTAGAGGAGGAAACCTTCTGTCCCTTGGAAGCTGAGTGGAAAGAGACAAACAATGCCTCCAATTTGCGAAAGGAAGCCGTCATCTTAATGTAATGACGCAATGCCCTACGTATATCTAGGTAATGCCACTGCTTTTCTAGTGTGTGAGAAGGATTGGGACAAAAGTTTGGTAATACAATGTCCTGAGCCCAGTGAAACAGTGTATTCACCTTGGGAATGAAAGAGGGATCTAACCTCATCACCACTCTGTCCTGACAGAAGGTACACAGGTCTTCCCTAACTGAAAGAGCAGCCAGCTCTGACACGTGCCTCGCCGACGTGATGGCTACTAGGAAGGCCACCTTGTGGGACAAAATGTGAAGAGGACAAGACCTTATAGGTTCAAAGGGAGACCTAGTGAGTGCCTGCAGAACCCGAAGTAGTTCCCAAGATGGATACCTGTGTACTACCGGAGATCTGGTGTTGGAGACTCCTTTCATAAAGGACCGGACCCTGGGATGATGGGACAATGGAGTGGCGTTGGCACAGGTGAACACTGTGGAAAGAGCGGCCACCTGTCTACGCAAGGTGTTGGGCGCTAAGCCCTTATCCATTCCATCTATGAGGT